ATAGACCCTTTGGGTTTCCCAGACATAAACTCACACCACCACACACAGAACAGGGGCTGGAATGCACTTGCTTCCTAGAATTTAGTTCAACACTTTGAATGACTTCTGTTACGTGAACCTTACACTGTCCCCACCACTGTCCCCAAGGGTCCTAGAGCTATGTGACAGGTCTCCACACCAAGTGCTGAGGTCAAGATCTTTCTTCTTCTTTTTTTCTTTGAAGACAGAATCTCGCTATGCAGCCCTGGCTGGCCTCAAACTCAGATCCCCTCCTCTGCCTTTTGAGTACTGGGATTAAAGGCGTGCCTAGCTTCAGTATGATGACAACCAAGACAACAACAATAAACAAAGTGTGCACACATGCACAGCACTCCTGTGGGGTAAGAAGTCAGTGTGTAGAGTTGGTTCTCTCACCCCACCTTTATGTGGGTTTCAGGGATTAAACTCAGCACCGATGCCCACTGAGCTCACCAGCCTTGAGGTCAAGGCTCTTCACAGCTGGTACCAGTGACTGGTGATGCCCACAGGTGGCGACTGCATCCTTTCCAAGAGGCACGTTCACCTTGTTCCCTGTCCCTATTCCATGTGGGCACTCCTGTGACTTTGTCTGCTGCTACTCAGCCTCCCCTGTGGGGGAGGGGTACCTGGGCCTCCCAGGCTCTCCCTTCCAGTCCAGACCAGAAAAGCTCTCCTTTCTAGGCAGACTGACAGAAAGTATGGTGTGGGATTAGCCATTGGTACTTCCCACTGTCTTGGCTACACTCACAGGACAGGTACTCCATGTCACAGTTTGTTATGAGGCCTGAGGTAGCACACCCTGACCACTGGGGGCTTGTGATATGTGCCGCTCATGTGTACCTGTGCTGGGGAGAAACATCACCACATAGATCTCGTACACCAGCCATAGCCGCTGCTGAAAAGGTACCTTCATACGGCCTTCTGTTTTACCAGAGAGACAACACCCAGAACCCATTTACATACAACAGCCACGTTGACTGGCTTGCACAAAACGAAGCTTTCTGCAAACAAGGATCCCTAACACTTCCCTTCCCTTCACTGGTTTGTCTGCAGACTACAACCTATACTCAAGTCAAAACAGACCCTCAAAGGAATAAAATCCCATGACTATGAGGTGCTGGCAGGGAGAAGGGAGGAGAAAACATTTCCTGTGAGCGTGTTCCTAACTGTGACTGTTAAGTCAACGACATCAAGGGTAACAAGTCTTAACTCTGCCCAGTAACAGCTAGAAGATGCCCAGCATGAAGGTACCTTCTAGGAGCATAGCTTCCTCATGGTGAAGGGAGATTAGAAAAACTTAGAAGTATAAAACTACATCCACCCCAAAGACAGAGACTTATAAAAGAAGCCTGGTGGTCTGAATGAAATATGTCCCCTATAGGCTCATCTTATGTGTTTGAACACTTGGTCCCTGGTCAGTGGTGCTGTTTGGGGAGGCCATTAGAACCTTTAGGAGGCAGAACCTTTGGAGATGGGTTTATAGCTTTGCCCATTTCCAGTTGATTTTGGCCTTCTCTGCCATGTGCCCCCCCCAAGGAGGGGGAGTCAGAACAAGCTCTTTCTCTGTAAGTCACTAAGCCCTGGTGTTAATCACAGGAACAGAAAAGTAACTAATACAAAGTCTAAATAAATAGTGAAAATAAAATCCCTCCTTACCCACGCATGAAAAACAAACCCACATTCAGATCCTGAACGGAAGTGAATAAAGAAACAAAGCAATGTTTGAGGCACAGCCCACCACACCCCCAAACTGCTTTGGTGACCCAGCACAGCTGGGGCTGGGGGAGCTGTGACTCGGATGGGAGAACCCTGTTAGCGCTAACAGCAAGGCTAACGAGAAGGACACTCATCTGTCTTCCACCCCAAACCTGTCACCGAGTCCCGAGAAAAGCACGCAGCAAAAGCAGGCAGGAGGTGTGCAGACCTGAGTGGCGCTCCTCACACTGCCGCGGTCATCAAGGAGAGAGGGGGTAGGGTGAGGAGGGGCTGAACCCTCCTCCACGGAATGCCCACATGGGGTCTGGACAGAGATGGCTGTCTGGTGCATTTGGTGTTAAAACACTACACAGGGCCCACTGTGACAAATGTCCACTAAGATGTCCCTCATGGAGGCAACTAGGGTGGGGTTCAGGGGACAGAATTCACTATCATCATCTCGGGTTTCCATAAAATCCAGAGCCATCCCCAAAGCAAAGCTTAACAGACAGGAGGCACAGGTGTCTGGAGCTGGTCGGCACTCTTCCCAGGGCGGCGCGGAGGTGGACACTCCACAGCAGGCACCGAGTGGCAGGAGAAAGCTGAGCCCTGAACTCTCTTTCAGCAGAGCTTTGTGTAAGTGAACAGGGGAAATGTGGAGAAAGGGAGGCTGAGTACCTGATCCAATTTCCTTGGAGAAAAATCAGCTTGCAGAGGAAATAGCAGACACTTTGAGACTGCAAAGGACACACAGGCCAAGGGGCTGAAGAAAGAAAACCCTGCTTCTTTCCTGGCTGTCTTTTCCCATGTAAGCTTTTCCTGAGGACTGGGCAGTATGTGCACAGGGTAAACCTCTTTCTTTTCTTTGGATTATCCCATCAATATCAACTCAGAGTGTTTTCCCACATTCCTTGACATCATGCCCTGGATGTTCCCAATGGTGTTATAAATAAAACTTTATTAACTATAATTTGGAAGGTCTGCCTGAACTGCACATTAATTCTGTCTATGAAAAAAAGACTTCAATTAGTTGGAACCCAGCTTACACCAGTCCTTAATTAACTGCCTCCCTCCCTTATTCTTGTTAATTAGTAGAGACAGATGATAACAACAACTTGGGGAACTTATTAAAACCAAGCATGCATGTCTTCTCTTACACATGGATCTTAGCTTCAGATTTTTAGGGTTATGTGTTTAATCTGGAGTGTCAGGAAACTAGAAAGGACCCACAAGAAGAAGCCCTGGGGGGTGAGGGAAGAGTAGAACACATATGATGTAACTGTGTGGGGGAACACTGGCATAACTCTAACTCTAACATTAACCTAACATTAACCTCTGGCTTCTGCATACATGTGCACTCCCACAGAAATATTTTTAGTGAAAAGGACATTTTATTCCTAACACAGTGATTTTCTTCAGTGGCAGTACTATGCTCATACTCAGTTATGTGATATGGCCTCTGGTCTAGGGTAAATTCCAGGGTAGTGTTAGGTCACTCTGCAGCATCTGTCTGAAGCAAGTCCACTTTTTGTTTGTTTGAAAATCGAGGAGGAAACAGTACAGATTGCTGTATGGAGGACATGCTGCACAAGAGATGGTACCGACTCAAAGCTCAGAGCCCCAAAACCCAGGGCGCTGACACACTGTGACGCTATCACCACCATCAAGGCTGAATCTAGCTCCTTACAGGTTCATGTCCCTTGTGAATCCCGTCCCTCCTCTCCTCTGCCCCCAAGTAGCCACTGATCTACCCTTCCTGACTACAGACAAGCGCACACCTTCTGCAACTTTAAATACACACAGCTCTACCAGCAGCGTCTTTCATGTGACATGGCTATGTTGGGGTGAGCCTGTGGGTTTGTTTTTTTTCTTCCGAGACAGGGTTTCTCCGTGGCTTTGGGGGCTGTCCTGGAACTAGCTCTTGTAGACCAGGCTGGTCTCAAAACTCACAGAGATCCACCTGACTCTGCCTCCCTAGTGCTGGGATTGAAGGTGTGCGTCTCTCCAACGCCCGGCTTGTTTTTTTTTTTTTTTAAATCTATGATTAGCATGTATGCCTGCCCATTTAGACTGCTTCCAATATCAAACTAGTAAAGCAAAGCTACTCAGAGCTGGATGTGCTGGCTTGCCCCTGTAGCCTCGGTACCTGAGAGGCAGAGGACTGCCAGGTGGTGCCAGGCCCGATGACCCCTGGAACCAACATGATAGAGAAAACTAACGCCTGCGAGAGAAAAGGTTTTGTTCCATGCAGACACAAGAGGCCTGCCTGCGCACGTTAGTGCTGTCTGCAGACACAGGACACACCTATCCCCATGAGGACTGTCCATGAGTGCTCTGTGGTCTTGTGTCACCTTCACCAGCAGTGACAGCCGTCTCTCATGCATTCTTCTACAAGTTTTATGATACTGAGCTTCACACTTGGGGTAGGCCTGTTACGGTGTAATTTTTAATATGGTTCACTTTTCGGCACATGGATGCCCAACTGTCCCAGATGCTCTCCACCAGCGTGTTTCTGAGCGTCTCTCCTCTCTGTGGTGGCACGTGCCGGCTTTACTCTCCACCCCACTTTCATGCCATGCCAGGTTTGCAGTACTGCGGATTTAGAGCAAGTCTTGAAGTTGAGTTCTTCACAGAAACAAAGAAGTTTTGTTCTATTTCAAGATTGTTTTGGTCATTGTGGGTCCTTTGCCAATTTCCATATGGATTCTAGAGCCAGGGTCTTGGACACGGACTGTCTTCTATGATTTGTAGTGTTTGATGAATATACCTTTTATTATCTTCTGTCAGAATTTAGCTGTTATTTCATATGTTTTGATGCCTTTATTTTAATTTCAATTTCTAATAGTTGAATAATAACATTGAGACATAAATTGATTTTTCTGTATATTAATCTTATAAGCAACAGACTTAGTAATATTGTGTAAGTTCTGCAGAAGTTACAAATAGACTTACTCTGTTTGAACAAAACCAGTAATACCTGTTCCGCTCAGCAGTTTTCTTCCTTCTTCCTTTGCACAACTGAGGATTTCCATGCAAAACTGCAGGCAAGAGTGAGAGTGGGTGCCTTGGTTGTACTTCTGACTCAGCACTGGTCTTTCCTTACGATGGGTCAGGGTGGCTGTAAAATTCTTGCAGTTGGGGCTTGGTGGTCAAAAGGTTCCCCTGTATTGCTAGCTTTTATTCTTCTCTCCTTTACTGTTTTATCTATTTCAATTTTTTTTTCTTGAGACAGAGTTTTTCTGTGTAGCCCTGGCTGATCTGGAACTCTGTAGACCAGGCTGGCCTTGAACTCAAGATATCTGCTGGCCTCTGCGTGCTGGGATTAAAGGCGTTCACTACCACCACTCAGGTACGCTTTTTAAAAAGTATATGCTTATCTGTCTATGTGTGCTTGTGCTCTTGGAGGCCAGAAGAGGGCATCACATCCTCAGGAGCTGGAGTTATAGTTGTTAGTGAGTCAGCACCTAATGTAGGTGCTGGGAACCCACTCAAAGTTTTCCCTGAGCATTCAGAGTATGTACATGACTTCTTCCTTTGCTGATCTGGTCATCCCATTAACTTTTAATTGCTGTGTCAGTCCACTCCTGTTGCTGTGAAACACCCTGACAAATGCGACCGAAGGGAGAGGGTTTTGTTTGGCTTCTCATCCCTGGTTACAGTCCGTCACTGGGGGTGGAGGTAGGAACTGCAGCAGCTGTCACAGCACAATCAGGAGCAGACAGAATGCACACGTGTTTACGACTCAGCTCACTGTCTCCACTCTACACAACACAGGGCCCACCAAGAGAACGGTGCTACTCAGATGGGCTGTGCTATCCCACATCAATTACTGTAATGGAGACAGTCCCTCACAGAAGCACACACACAGGCCAGCCTGGTCTAGACAGTCCCTCACTGAGACTTTCTTCCTAACTGACTCTAGACCAGAGGTTCTCAACTTCCTAACATTCGAGCCTTTACTGCCGTTCCTCATGTTCCACAAAATTATTTTGTTGCTACTTCATAACTGCAGTTTAGCTACCATTATGAATAAAATGTAAATATCTGATACGCAGGATACAGGAAATGGCACCCCAAAGGGGTCACAACTCACTATCCTAGATTGTCAAGTTGACAATTAAAACTCACCTTCACAGCTATTAAACACCTTTACAATCCTGAACGAAAACCCACTAGGCCATGATATATTATTTACTTATATCACGGGGGGGGAGGGAGGGAGAGAGGATATGTGCACGGCAGTGAATGTGGAAGGCAGGGGCTTGCATCAGGTGTCTTCCTTGGACATTCAACTTTTTTTTTAAGATGGCCTCTCACTGAGCCTGGAACTCATGAAGTGATCAGACAGAGAGCTCCCATTTGCCTGTCTCTGACCCTCGGTGTTGAGAGCTACAGATAGATGCTTAGCTTTTATGTCCCCATACTTTCACAGCAAGCCCGTTAGCAATGTGCTGGGCCTGCATACAGATGTTTCTCTGAAATATTCTACTTACGGTTTGTGTTATCTATATTCATGAGGTCTACACTTCTTTTGTGTTGTGTTTGGGTGCCAGTGTTACTTATCTCGTCTAGGAATACAGAAAGGGGTGTGTTGTTGCCCATATGCCTCTTCCTTAATGTTCAGAAGAATTCTTCATGGAAACCATCTGGACTTGTAGTGTTCTCTAATAGATATAAAGCTACCAAGATCATCTGTTTCTTCTTCAACAAGTCTTCCATGTCAGTAACAAGCCTGTCTGTCGAGATCATTCACAATACTCACCTCCCATCCTTTTAGAACCATCAGTGCTATCGTCTGTGGCTCCAGATTCTAGACCCTTCTTTCTGTGCGTCCTTCCCAGTCTGGGTGGCTCCTCAATTTTACCCACGTCTTAAAGCAGTAGCGCAGACTCTGCATGGCAGCTGCCAGCGTCTCGTTGTCCCCGTGCTCCCTTCCTCCTATGTTTTTCCTTCCCTAGCACCCCAGGTGGATGCCGAGGCCAGGAGCCGAGTCCCCTTTTTTCCTAACGGCGCAGTCAGGGGCCCCCAGCATTGCTTAGCTGGGTTCCAAAGACTACTTACTTAGTTTTCACTTGATGGAAAAAATTTTTTAAAGAATAATTTTTTTGAGGGTAGCCTGGGCTACCTAGTAAGACCCAACAGCCAAAGAACAAACAAACCTAAAACCTCCCTCTTTGAAAAGCTTATTAAAATTGTACTTCATATTTTAATATAAAGGTTCACACGGTTATAATTACATGTATATGGTGCTAAATTACACATATATTTGTAATACTTTGGGTAATGTGTTATTTAAAACTATATATGTACGTGGGAGCCAGAAGAGTGTGTGCAACCCCTCGGAGCTGGAGTTATAGGTGGTTTGAATTACTCGACATGGGGGCTGGGAACTGGAAACTTGGTTTTTTTGAAGAGCAGCCATCCATTCAGCTCCAAACCCATCTTAAGGGCTTGATGACTCCTGTCCTTTGCAGAAGTGGTACACAGCAGTGCTCCTCAGATACCAGGGAGAAAAGAGCCTGATGGGCCTTTAGCAGAGTCTGGCCTGAGCAGGCATCCCCCTTCCCAGACCTCCAAAGCACACCAGAGCACTGGGTGGCCTGCAGTGTAATGATGGAGACTGGCAACAGGCTTGTCTCTAAGCACAGGAGACCATATCTGCAGAACGCCATGAGTCATAGGTTACAGACGGTAGAGTGCTGCAAGTTACAGACCACAGACTGTAACTTACATCTGTAGAGGGTTATGTACTAATGGACCACAGGTCCCCATCTGTAGACTGTAATGTACTAATGGACCACAGGTCCCCATCTGTAGACTGTAATGTACTAATGGACCACAGGTCCCCTCATCTGTAGACTGTTATGTGCTAATGGCTCACAGGTCCCCTCATCTGTAGAATGCTATGAACTATGGACCCTGACAGAGGCAAACCTGAATTACCTGGGGCACTTTGAGTTTGGCAAGTAGCAGGTACCACTTGAGCAGAGAGGCAATTAGATGGCAAGGCCAGATGTGAGGAGGGAAGGAGTGGCTGCTTAAACTTACATGGAATTTTTGTTTCTGGGAGTTTTGGTCAAGGTCATTAAAAGAAGGAATGATGAGGAAATGAGGCTCAGTTTCAACCGGAAACATTTCAGAATGTCCCTCAGCAGGATGACTGCTACTAAACAAACAGGTGCAATAATTGGATGGCCTCTGGAACATTGCAGGCAAGGGCATTTCCAGCTGAGCACTGGTACCACACACACACACACACACACACACACACACACACACACACACACACTGCTCAGAATGCTGCAGCACCTGTGCTCACAGCTGAATGCAGCCTCCGTGTCCAGGAGTAAGCAGGAATTGAGAGTAGCTGAAACACCACTCTCCACACACTGGGACAAGGTGACCAACTGTGACGCCAGTGATCGTGTCATGGAAGCACTGCTACCTGCTTTCAGATCTGACTCCTCCCAAGACTTCAAACATAGATATATTTATCTTTAGGGACAAAAATACTGAAAACAACAAACTCAAAACCCTTAACCATGGTAATCAAATGGGTTCACATGTGTCCATGCATCCCTGGCATCTCAAGCGCGGTCCGAAAGGCAGACCTGAAGCTTGGGGCCCACAGTCACAGAGCCATGCATGCCCTGTGCTCATTTCTGCCCTCACTCCTTTGCCCTGGCTTCGCTCTACCACAGACTCGCAGGAGCCTCTCTTTCCATGTGACATCACTACTGCCAACTCCAAACGTGCTGACACAGAGGATGAGGATTACAGGGTAGAAGAGAAGTGAGATCCTGAGGAAAGCCTTCTGCTTATGCAACTTGGCCCTTCAGTAAATTGGAATAAAGGTAAAATAGAAATGATTGGAAAGTATGGGCTCTGGTTGATCAAGAACATACTTCAGTGTCACAGGTAAGACAAACGTGACGCTGTTCCCAGGGTAGAGGGTGGATCACGGACAACCTCAGTGGAGCATAACATGCACAGTGATGAGAACAAGGAGTCCAGGTCTCCTCTGGGGAGAGGCAGGGGATATGGCTCGGTTGGCAGCATGCTTTCCTAGCATACATGAAGTCCCGGGTTCTACTCCCACCACTGCACACATCTATAATCTCAGTACTCGGGAGAGAAGTGCAGGAGGGTCAGGAGCCCCCAACATTGCCAAACCATTCCCTCCCTCCCCTGACCTGCAGTGACTTTGTCTTCCTGCCTCGCCGTTAGATCCAGACACAGCCTCAGGCCGTCACACTCTGCTTGTCACAGCGTCGTCTTCTCTGAGCTACGCAATGTGTACACATGCACACACCCATACTGGTATGTTAGAAACAGACTTGATTCTTCAGACCAGTGGTTCTCCACCTTCCTAACACTGTGACCCTTTAATACAGTTCCTCATGTTGTCGTGACCCTCAACCACAAGATTACTTTGCTGCTACTTCATAACTGTAATTTTGCTACTGTTGTGAATCATAATGTAGATTTTCAATAGTCTTAGATGAAGCCTGTGAAAGGGTCATCCAATACCTCCAAAGGTGTCCCAGCCCACAGGTCTGTTTCAGACTGTCTCAAAAACAAGCAGAATAGCAAAGCTGGTAACTCTTTACCTCCTCCCTCGCCGGCCAGCCCTTCCAGCAACCTAAGCACGTACCAGTGCCATCTGCTCCCCATGGTCCCTGCCAAGCTGGTTCCCACCTATCTGGGAACCACAGTGAGACCCTCTGGAGTGCAGAGGGCATCCCTGTACTTCCCAGTCACCTACAGCCCTGCAGACGGGGAGATGAGTTTGCCCTGGCCTCCTGGGCTCTACCTGGGTGCCCTGGACCTGCTCCACGTCTGCACCCAAGCATCTCACAAGCTAGTGGAACAGACACCGATCATCAGGGCAGCTCATCTCATGCCCCAGCTCTATTACTGGGTGGACTACTGGGGCTGAATGAGATGCCACCTCTCCTGGCTACTGGGGGTTGGGGGGGGGGCCTGCGTCCCTGTCACCTCTTCCTATGACACGCTTCACAAATGAGATTAGTCCTTACAGCTCTCTGCCCCACAGCCCGCGAAACACCGCTGGAGGCTTCGTTTGCCGCCCCCTGGTCCTCTGGACCTTTCTGCTGACTCTTGCTTGCTTGCAGTGTCAGCCCTTGGTCAAACACAGCCTCCTCACAGAACCACTGGGCTGACTGTTCACATCACGTCACGCTCATGGTCAGTGACTCTTGCTCCTATAAGGTGTGACTCTGCCCCATGGTGTCTTTTTGTTTTGTTTTGTTTTTTAAGCTGTTTGTGCCTGTGACCCCTAAGGGTGGTGAGCATTCTGAGGTCAAGGATAGGGTCAGCTAACCTCTTTGCCGCCTACAGACCTCAGCACAAAGCTCTGGGTATAGGTCCCACCAAGTTTTTGTAAAGAACACAAATGGTGCAGGGCCAGGAAGTGTAAGCGATTACGGATGATACAACAGGAAACTGTTGGGGCTAGGAAGTCACCTGTAAAGGAGGGACCATTAGTGGTCATCCGGTGCTATAGGCAGCATGGGTATGACAGGACGGGTGTGGGCTCGGCTTTCCTAGCTAGCATGTTTGGAAACAGGGAAAGACGGGTGAGGCAGGACAGAGCTATGGCGGGGAGCAGGCTGGGCCAGTGTCACTTGTTGCCATTGTCAGAAACACAGAGAAGAGCCTCAAGAATGGTCAGGGTATGGTCAGAGTGCAGGTGCCAGGGGCACACAGAAGACAGACGGGAGATCTGGCAGCTGGTAGAGACTAGCCTGGAGGAGGGAGGGAGGAAGGACAGCCACAGCCTGCAGGAAGAACAGGAGGGAAACTCAGGAATGGCAGCCCCACCTAGCACCCGGGGGTCACTGTTGTGAGGGTACGATAGCTCAGGTCCACAGACCCAGCCTTGCTCCCTACCCTTGGGATGAACGGAGGTTACTCACACTGTCCACAGCAAGGATTTTGGCCCAGATGAAGACAAGGAGTGGCCGCAGCTCTCGGGCTGAGCTCTGGAGCAACTTCAACACGTAGGGGAAGATGCCCACGGACAGGGCCTGGAGGTGAAAAACAGCATCAGCACAGTCCAGAGGTCCCGATCCACTTCACTCTTTGTTGACAATATCTAATTAGTGAAAACCTGAAGATGGCCAACCTGCTCACCCTATAGCACTCTGCAGCAGACCAGCTTATGTACTGTGTGCCACTTACAATGGACAGCTACTGTTTATAATGTAAAACAACCAATTCATACGAAATGTCTAACTGTTCCATGAGTATTGTTTGAAACTTCATTTATTTAATTCATTGTAAATGGGTGCGTGTGCATGTGTTGTGTACATACACACACACGTGTACATTTGTAAGTTAGAAAACACGTATGTGTTCACAAGAAGCAAAACACAGGTTGACTTAGGGTGGTTTCCTCTACCACCTCACCTGATGAGGGTAGATTGGCCACCAATGATTTCTCGGACCCATCCACCTGCCTCCGCCTCCCCCACTGCACCAGCTTTCACATGGGGGCTGAGGATCTGAACTCAGGCCCTCATGCCTGCACACGGGGACTTTACCCACTGAGCCATCTTTCTAGCTCTAAACCTTTACTTGCAAAAAGAGCCAATGCACCGCAGATGTCAAAGACTCTAGTGTCCCTTCAGCCTGCAGGTTCCTTATGACTTATTCGTTGGAAACATGGGTCACTGCTTGGTTTTCCTGTTTTGTAGACTGAGGACCCAGAAGAATGGTTCAGAGCTGTGCCTAAATCAGGTGCTGACAGTTTCCGGGAGGAAAGAGGCCGTAGAAGGCATATGCCCACCTGCCTGTGGTTCCTGGCTTTTGGAAAGTCTAACAATGATGGGGACCAATGACAAAAACCCCAAAAGAACCAGGGAGGGAGGAGCTCACCCTAGCTCACAAGACTTTGGCTTGGAGTTCATAGACTACTTCACTGAGTCTAACCTCTGCCTCCTTTCCCCAGGTAAGGCAGAAGGCACGTACCAAGCTCACCGCCCAGGGACCCAAGTCCAAAAAGCGTCCCAACAAGTCCAAGGCCCTCAGCCGGTGCACCTGGCTTAGCAGCACCTGGAAAGGCAAGAAAGATATTGAACGACAACAAAATGACACTATTGCCACTTCGCTAAGAAAGCTCCAGTGTGAGCCGGTAGCCCAGGAGGGGTCAGACATTTTTCTAGCTTGGATGCTGCCTGTGTAGTTCAAACTTTAGATAGGATGAAAAAAAAAATACTTCTTCATTACCCAAGTAAAATATGTCACCTGCACAAAGAACATATGAACATTCCACTGTGTCCAACAGGACCACCACTGGTGGCACTGTTCTCTATGTCCAGCCTTGCCTAGATGAATCTGTTCCCACTTCCCATCCCTAGACACCCACGGCAGTGAGCACAGTATGTCCTCTGTATAGATGTACATATTTTAAATGGTTCCTCCAACACCAGGTATCACAACGCTGTGAGAAATACCCCAATCTGCACACCTTTGTACATTTAAACAATTTTTTTCTCCTAAGGATAAATCTGGAAAGTAAAAATATAGGTTGTAACATCTACATGGCATTACCACAGTGCCCTAGGCGAACTACCTCAGTCTTCTAACAAGAGGCCTGACCACGGCACTCACTGGGATGTGACTGGGTAAAGTACCCAACATCTCTTGGCTCTGATTTATTGATGCTCAGTACAAGGTCAAAACAATCCTTAGGAACAAAGCCAGGTACACTATCATTTCATGTGGAAATAAGCGTCATCAATGAAGACTATGGAAACAATGTAAATGCTACTTGGCCCCCTCCTCCCCCCTGCAAATAGCATACTTCCTATTTCTTTCTTTCTTTTTTTTTTTTTTTTTTTTTTTTTTTTTGGTTTTTCGAGACAGGGTTTCTCTGTGGCTTTGGAGGCTGTCCTGAAACTCACTCTGTAGTCCAGGCTGGTCTCAAACTCACAGAGATCCGCCTGCCTCTGCCTCCCGAGTGCTGGGATTAAAGGCGTGCGCCACCAACGCCCGGCAGCTTCCTATTTCTTTTATTGATTTATACCTTTAAAAAGTTGAGGTCCAACATGAATTTTAAGAATATAGGCTGGCTTTTTTGGGTGTGTATTTGGACTTCAAAAAAACAGAAAGTATGTGTATGTGTATGTGGGGGGTGGGAAGCTGAAGATTTGGCTTGGCAGTCAAGAGTACCAGCTGCTCCTACAGAGGACCTGGGTTCAATTCCAAGAAACTACATAGTGGCTCACAACCGTCTTCAAGCCCAGCTCCAGAATATCTGGTCCCTTCTTCTGGCCTCTGTGGGCAGTGCACATGTAGCATAGACACACATCCAGGCAAAACACCCAGGTACATAAAATAAATAAATTTTCTCTTAAAAATTAAAAAATAATCAACCAAGAACCAAACTCCTGTCTCACACTGTCACAGACACAGGAAACCACAAATGACAGAGACTGACTAGGTGAAACAGGGTCTGTCAAGGTGACCCATGTTCACTTCCTGGTGTATAAACAGTGCTCAGGCTTTTTGACTGAGCATGAGGAGAAACTGAGGTTCTGGGGGCGGGAGAACCCAGGAACTTCTGAGGGAAAGAAACCCCATCATGGGGCACAGGGACAGACAACATGCGTCAGTGGCTTTCCCCGCATTTGGAATAAGATGCACTGACAGCACAGAACTCTAGGTGAGTTACATGTAGCAGACATGGAAGAGAATAACTCTGCCCTGTGGACTCCTTCCTGCCTTTCTTGCTTGATGATGACTTCCTTACTTCTTCTGTCTGGGATGGCAGTCATGGAGGGTCCCAGGCAGAGCCACACAAACGCAGAAAGGTCCCACACTTTGAAAACTGACAGTGGCTGTAGATGTCAGTCTTGATATTCTCTCTTTTCTGTTGATTTCATTTTTAAAAGGCAGAAAAGATGCTGAGGCTGTGTGGGAGAGGCCAGGTCCACATTTTTTGGGGTTGCGACTCAGCAGCCTGACTGAACCTTGAAGTGCTCCTACACACACACACACACACACACACACACACACACACACACACACACACACACCATCAGCTAACGTCTGGGCAGGGAAATTCACTCTGGCTTATGGGAGTGGCAGGCACCCGAGAGACACTTTCTCCCTTCCTAACGTCTCCAGCTCTGCCAAGGTGCTGGGGGATAATCGTGAATGAAGGATTTCAGGACAAAGCAAAGTAACCAAGAGCGCGGCCAGGGAGGGCGTCGTGGAACTGGAGCCCCCTTTACCCGCTGGCTTTTGCCTTTTTTGTCTTTTCCTTTCCTAGCCTTGTTCATCAGGGCTCACCCTTGGGTCAGGCTGGGCCTGGTGGGGGAGACAGAGCCTTGCATGTGGTAAGGACCTGCCGCGTCACACGGAAAGCGGCTCATGTTCTCTCTGCACTATTTCTCCATATTTTGGCATCAGGTTGGCTCTAGAGTTCTTCCTTTTCCCTGAGAGACTATGAGTTGTAAATGGAACATGAAAAATAAAGTCGATAAAAGCCATTTACAAAAGGACGGTTTGCCAGACCCTGAAGAACTAGATTAAACGTGCCTGGCACCGCAGCCCTGCCGTGGGGAGGGCCAACTCTACTCCTCCGTGCTGCTACAGGTAAGAGGCAGGTTGGAGAGAGCTGCATGGTGACCCAGGTGACCTGAGAGGAGCCCCCAGTGCTGCTGCCACTTCCTGGAGTCACGTGGGTATCTCAGCTCGCCAGGCTTTGTCCTGCTATTGTTACTGTTGCTGTTGTTACTTTGGAAAACATTTGATACAGCTTATTGCTCACTTTGCAATCCCAGGAAGGTCTAAAAACTAACTAACTAGACATATGCAAGAGAGCAGTGATAATGTCAGAAAAGAAGTAACAACAGAATTACCCCCCTTTTGGCCCAAGTCGTTCTTTAAGGGTTCCTACAAACAGCAAGAACCCGCTATTGTTACAATTTTACATTCACATATGTTCTTCTTTCTTGCTGGCTGGGATTCCTGGGGCTCTAGATGGGGAGAAACCTGAGTTCTGGGGGAGGTGAATGACCTAGTGGCTGCGAGGCTGGCTGTCCTATGGGAGAGATTCTGGGCAGGCAGGGTCCACTGTGTTCTGTCGGGAGAGACAGCTGAGCTGCAGTTGCCCCAAGCATTTAGCCCAGTGAAGACGGATGGTTGTCCATCACAATGTGGTTAGCAGCCCTAATGAGAAAGCACAAGCCTTTCTTGGGAGGAAGCAAGGCCAATGTCCTAGCCAGGTGGAAATCCCATGGCCTGTTTTATAGCGGGAAGTAACTTGATAAGTACTCTGGAGAGTGATGGTCCCATCACTGGCCCTTGGCAAGTTCTGTCCCTTCTATTTGGAGGGCAGTCTGTCCTCTATTCCTCCAGGGATGTGGGATGGCTTCCTACTCTTCCAAGTTGGCACCCCTCGTGATTTCCATAGTTTCTGACAGAGCTCCCCCTAAGCTCCCATGCTCGCTTGATAAATTCTATTTTCTGGCTTCTACAGTAAGTCACAAGTCCTCAGTGTCCAATCTGGCTTTTCTTAGTCACAACCCAACTCACCAGTTTCTCCCACAAACACACATTTAATAAAACACAAACTTGGTGACCCATTATCTACCTACCCGTGATGACAAATCCACTACTCATATTCCTATTCTATGCCATTTTAGTAACCAAAAGTCAGCAGGCAGTAATGGATTCCTCACAACAAGACCAGCTTGCACATGGTAACAGACACATGCAGAAGGCCCCCACCAAGGGAAGGCTGATGGCATCAGGCCTGCCTGCGCTGCTCTGGTTGCTGGCCAGGACAATGAATACTGTAGCTCAGTTAGGATTTGCTGGGTGGCCTCACCCTTTTCTCACAGGACAAATTTGCATCTCATGTCCTTCCAAGCAGGAGGTAGTGATGCCAAGAGCCTGCACCTCAGCGAAGCTTGCTGGCAGCGGCGTTTCATCAACTCCTGATTCGTAAGCAAGAGGCGAGGGGTAGTGATCTATCCCAGTTTATATTTAATTGGGAGAGGAAGAAGGGAATTCAAAGGCTTTGCCAAGAAAAGGCCACTGGGAGTAAGTAAGCGTCTACTGACTTCAGATCAGATGCGAGGCACTGATGGGCCATCTGCCTGAAGCACAGCCCCATGGCGGGGCTGCGGCCACCGCCCAGGCCCTCCTGTGCCTAGGGCGCACATGTGTTTCTCCCTCCTGTGGGACGCAACTGACCTGTAGGACAATGGGCAGCTGCTCAGGGGGACTCCTGTTCTCCACACCCATTGTGAGCCACACCTGGAATGCTGTCAGCTGCTCAGCGAAGAATGGACTGTGCTGTAGGAGAAGAAAGAACCGATTAGTGAGGCAGGTCCTTTACACCACCGTCACCCTCAGTCCTGTCAAGGCAGTGGCCACAGAGCTGGTGGGAGCAGGTCTTCCAGGCTTGGCTAACAACCTGGACAGGAGAGAGAAGTCTTAGGCTGCCTGAGGATCAAGATGTAGAGCTCTCAGCTCCTTCTCCAGCACCATCTGCCCGCACGCTGCCATGCTTCTCACAATGACGACAGTGGACTAAACCTCTAAACCTTAAGCCAGCCCCAGTGAAATGTTTTCCTTTATAAGAATTGCTGTAGTCATGGTGTCTCTTCACAGCAATAGAAACCCTGACTGATACAGTAGTAAAAGATATGAATTTAGTCAGGTTGACATACAAAATTACTTGTAACAATACACATACAAAAAAAAAAAAAAACCCAGAATTTAGCCATGTTGATTCAGTGTTATACAGATGTCAGCATTGCCCAACTCAATGTCTGATACTCCATAAACTCAGCCGCAGTCCTGCAGGTTCTCTGAAGAAACGAATAAGCTACCATAACAGTCGGACGGAATCACAAAGGGTCAAAAGTAATAGGGACAGTTGCGGAGAGGAACACAGCTAGAGGACAAAGTAGCAGCCTCAACAACATCTGTAATTGTTTAGAATCAAAACCTGGACTGTGGTGCCTGAAAAAAGTGCCCGAGAGAACAGAGCAGAGAAGCTAGAAGCAGCCACACAGTCACTCAGAGTGGGCATCGATCGTAAGGACGGCAGACACTTCCTGCTCCAGCTCACAGTTGGCAGAGCCCGAGAGACCCACCACAAAGGCAGAGGCGTGGGGCGCTCACCTCAGGTAGTTTAAGACGGCTTTGGACAATGCAACAAAGGCCTTAAACATTAACAAAAATTTAGTAAGTTGGAATTTGCTTAACAAAAGATATCTGCTAAACAAGAAAAAGAAAAGGTAAAAACATGAAAATGCAGTCTGCAGAAAAAAGGGACATTCACAATGAGACAAAGAACCACTGCAGCTCAGCAGAGAGATATATATGCATAAAAGACAGACCCGCCAGAGAACAGGAAACCACATTCTGGTGGCACTGGGGACAGATGCTGCCATTATTCACATGGAGCCAGATCCTGGACAGCAGGAAGGCTGTGAACCAAAGACTGTGTACAGCTATCCAGTCGCATTTACTAATCCCACCTACAGCTTGGTGCTGTCTTACTAACTCCCAAGCAGACACACGCAAGGGTGGGCAGTGCCCAGGATGTCATCAGTGTGTCCAACATATAGAGGACAGGACGGGAGAGTACTTCCCCCCAAATTCTGGAAATGAAGGTAAACACCTTGCTATAATACGTACAACATGATAAAAACAAGCGACAGACAGGCCAGGATGATTTTCTTCCCTCTGTCTTCAGCCACATAGTCCCTGGGCCTGGGCCAGCACCAGCCACAGACCGACACTGAAAACAACGCTGGCCATGGGGTGGAGACTACTTGGAGCCTGCAGACACCATTACTCTGTTTTTCTGTGGAAAGGCGTTCCAAGGCATATCAAAGTGTCCTGTCGGGTGGAAGCAGTCAGACACAAAGAGCACACCCCATCGGTACTCAACAAGGGCAGCAGACAGGCAAGCAGCTGCAGAGGAAGGAGCGGTTGGTCTGTGACTGCTTGCTATGGGGCTGGGGATGAGAGTGCGCTGAACTGGTGAGGATTCACCAAGCCACGTGTTTATGATGCATATGGATTTCTACATCTATTCTATACACCAAGAGGCAGAAAATAAAATACAAAGGCTAGAGCATGGCTGAGATCAGCTGCTCCCCACCCCCGCACCTGACGCCCCAATGTTCCTTTAATGCAGAATACTGATTCCATCAGGTTAGAGATTATGTAGTGAGACCCTTGGCAAAGACACCTGGCTTTGGAACAGAAGTGCTCAGCACGAAAGGAACACCGCACAGAGTGTGCTGTCCTAGGAGTTGTCATCTCCTTAGCAAGGGAAGGCAGGATCTGAAGTAAAAAAGACTGCCCTTTTTTGTTGCTGTTGGTTTTTCAAGACAAAGTTTCTCTGTATAGCCCTGACTGTCCTGGAACTCGCTCTGTATAGTTCAGGCTGGTCTTGAACTTAGATATCCACCTGCCTGTGCCTCCTGAGTGCTGGGATTAAAAGAATGTGCCACCACCATCCAGCCAGACTGATGTTTTAATGGGGTTTTCCAGGCATTCAGCTGCACCTAGAGTCCCTGTCCCTCCTGGACAACACTAGAAGTAAGGATCAGAGGTGGACACAGCTGCCATGTCTGCCACGGTGCAGGTGTCATTTTTTATGGAGGTTTGGGACTCTGAAGGAGAATTGTTCCTGCATCAGTTTAGGAAAGGCAGGCACACAGGCTTTCTGTTTGGAAGCTGAGCAATGGATGCTACATGCACCAGGGAAAGCCAAGACAGTATAAAACTATGTCATCCTTTCAGATACACAAAGACACATAGCAGACATACACATACATAGACCACACACACGCGCACACACACACACACACACACACACACACACACACACACACACACACACACACAGAGGGAGCCAGGCTCCAGACACAGAGAGACATTGCTTGTAACTTAGTGGCGGGAGCATGACTGCCAGAGTCCTTGCAACTTTGCTCTTGGCTTAAAAGCATCTATAATAAAATGTTATCTCCCTAGCCCCAAACAAGCAACAAAGAGGAGAACATATTGACACAACGTTGACAAAAGGGAAGAGGAGCTCTTCTTTAAATGCCTTTTGCCCCCATCACTTAACCTGAGGAGCTAGCATAGCCCCCACACACCAAGAATGCAGTGTGCTAGTGCATACACAGGCCCAGGCTGGATTCCGCAGCAGGGACACTGACAGATGACACCGACACACACTGCTCACTCACTGGTCAGTGGCCAGTTTTCTCTGGGCAGTGAGCTGTATAAGAACAAGCGAGGGCCGACTGCACGTGCAAAGCCTGTCCTAAGCACTGTAGGGATGCTAGCCCATTCAGCCACCACACACACACAGCTGACCCATTCAGCCACCACACACAACCTCTTGAATTGGGCTTCCCCAGAATCCCTGTTGAAAATGAGGAAACCAGGCTGGGTGTTTTGGTGTACACCTTTAATCCAATACTCGGGTGGTAGAGACAGGCAGATCTCTGTGAGCTCAAGGCCAGTATGGTCTACACAGTGAGTTCCAGGACAGCCAGGACTATGTAGAAAGAGCCTGCCTCAAGCAACAACAACAAAATGAGGACACCAAAGCTCAGGGAGATTGTCTTGATGATCCACAGACAGAGACGCTGCCTGGCTCTCAGGGAGATTGTCTTGATGATCCACAGACAGAGACGCTGCCTGGCTCTCGGCCCGACACCCCACCCTCCCCAGGCCTTGTGTAATCTTAGCTTCATGAATGTGCTTGGCCTGCTTCTGTGCTCCCGGCCCCTAGTCTAGGTCCCTGATGTCTGGCAGGTGTTGTGCCCTGTGTTCCTGAGGACGGCCCAGGACTTTAGTCGGTCCTGGTGCTTCCCTCAGCACAGATGCTCCACAAAGGAAAAACCAAAGGGCCTGGGAGACTGCTAAGGCGACTCTGGGCAGTGTCATCCATTTGTGCAAGCCACAAGCAGAACCAGGTACAACCCATGCAGCTGCTCAGCTTTCACCTTCATGGTGAGACTGAGCTACACCCCCAGGTACCAGGAGACCCACAAGCTAATCCCTGGTAAAAGGCACCAGTAGGAAACATGCTCCCCACTGGTGGAGGAGAGAGGCTGAATGAAGAAAAGTGAGTTCCTGCCAGCACTACAGAGAAACCCTGTCCCGGACTCCCTCCCTGCAAGAGGTCAACCATATTAAAACCCAACTTGAGTCCCTGGCTGACCCGATCTTGAAAACTCTGTAAGCTGCACCTTTTTACTAGGTAGGTGAAAAACTAAATCCCTGACACCAGAATTCTGGGTGCTACACATGAAGCCCAGGTGTCTGCAATGGAGGCACAGGCTCCTGGGGTTCTCTGAAGCGGGGACTCACCCTGAAGGCAGTGCCCTCCTCGATGATGGTCGGCAGCTGAGACAGACAAATGTCCACGGCAAGGTCCCAGGCCTGCCTGGGGAGAGAACACAGGACACCACAGGGTTAGTGGAGCAGCCTTAGCTTGAGGCCTTCTCAGTGATGAACCTTGGTGCCATGGGGAGGAAAACCCTTCGGCCAGGAAGGGCTGTGTTGGGGGTCTTCCCAGGAAGCCTGGAGAAGTATACGTGGGTGGGCGCTGTGGCTTACTCTAGCTGCCTCGTATGACAAGCCTCTCTTTAGAATGAAGAGAGAAGGACGACAGTGGTTCCTGATGTCATCACGACCCTCTCTAAAACATAACCTTCGTGCTCCAAATAGCTGGGGTTCCTGTGGAGGCAGATAGGATGGCAAGGGCAGAGAAAGGCACTTTGCTAGAAAAAGCCCAGTCAGCAGGCTGGCACAGGTGTCCTGGCTGTGCACTTGTTGCCCCCAGAAGGCCATGTGGTGTCAACACGTCAGGCCCCAGCATCCGCTTGTCTGCATGGTTGGGACCTGGCCTAGAAAGCTAGGGCTGTGTTGGTGGCCCTAACCTGAAATAGGGCTGCCTTTGGCAGGCGGGCTTGGCCAACCTCAGCCTCTCATGGCATGGGGTACTACTCAGCACTCTGACGGAAGCCACCATGTCCTTGATGACACGTCTTGTGCTCAGCTGAGAGCCCTGTCTGGGACCCCACCGGGTGGATGCCCACTCCCTGCTCTCGCTTCAAGCCAGCCCTTGGACTCTTTGGGAACTCTGGCACTCAGATACTGCGGGCTGATTTATGCAGCCTCATAAACACATCCTCTTACATAATGGGGGGACACGGGGACTCAGTGTCTGGGAGCAGGCTGGCTGCACTTACATAAGGCTCTTTGCCAGGTGCCCCTCCTCTCCTACTTTTGGAGGACCAGAGAGCAGGACAGGAGTGCTGTGGACTGGAGCCACACAGGCCAGGGTTCAAAGGCAGATTTTTATCTTGGCCTGGGTGTGTAACCGAGTATAATTTTATTGATTTCTTATAACATTTTTAACCGATGCTTTCAGACTTAGAGGAAAGCCCTGTTTCCCCATGAGTGCGGAGCCAAGAGAACACAAGTGCATGGTCCTGTTTCTCCTCTGGGAGTACTTGGTTACTATACACCTGTCTTTCTGGTGGTGCTCGGGGAAGCGCTGGCCCTAGGTCCCATGGGAAGGTCCTGGTGGTGTGTACTGTACCCCAGCCTCCAGTTCCACTCTGTGCACAGCTCCGGGATTCAGGCTTTATACCCAAGCTGCCACTCTCTCCTCTTCACTGAGGCACTGGTTACTTTTTGTCATCCCTATCTATGACCAAACACCTAACAAAAAACCATGCTGGGGAGGAAGGATTTATTCTGGGTCACAGTGGCTGGTGACCGGTGGTGATCAAAGGGAGTCGATCATGTCATGACTAAGGATGCCAACCCCAGATCCTGTGAGTCCTAGGATCACAGTGGGGGCATATGGGGACCGCAGGGCAGCCTAGCCAGACCAGGGGTCAGATGAGAAGCTCTTCAGTTCATAGCAGTCACATTGAAAGCGGCCACACTGGAGCCGCAGGAGTCCCTTGCTTAATCATTGCCTGGGTTGGATGGTCACACTTCCTAGCAACATTGCTACTGCTTACACTGGGCAAGTGGCCCAGGGTGGCTACACAAGCAACTTGGGAAATGGCGTCCGTGTCACAATGGCTTGTCCTGTGTGGCATGGGACCACAAGAAGCTCTCCCTGGACTTCCACTTCTAGTACCTCAGGTAGCTGTCTCCCCAGCATGGTTCTCTCAGTGTCTTCCCGATGTGTGCATGCAAGCATGGCACTCTTCATTCTCCCCCAGGGCCACCCTCAACTGCCATTGAAAATGAAGCTGGCTTTCTTGGGGACTGCTCATCCTGACTCCACCACTGAACCAGAAGCCATGTCTGAAACACACCTAATACTAAGTCAGCAGTATCCTAAAACGAGTCCCAAGTTTACCAGTCTTACCATGCATCCTCTCACAACTCCAGACCCTCTCTTGACCCCTCTATGGCTATAAGAGTGCCACACTAACAGCCAGGACTCTCATCATTCTTATTCTGCCTGCCTCTTGGGGTCAATAGGATCCCAAGGCTCTCTGCATCTGCACTGTGCCAGGCTGCTGTGGGCACCTCAAACGTAGGTCAGAGAAGAATGAAAACACCCTTTGCCCAGAGCTGAGTCGGGTTAGACACAGCGGGGAAGAGAATGCACCACAGGCCTGGCTTAAGCCCTGTCTTCCTTGAAAGCCCTACCTGAAGACAGGGGCCCACAGAGTGGCCACTCAGCAGGCCCGGGCATATAGTTCTACTTGGACCTTGTTTCTCCAGGAAGGGATTCACTATCCATGAAGTACAAAATACTGACATCTTCCTCATGGGGTCCCTGTGGGACCCTGAGATAAGGAAAGGGCCTTGGCTGAGCTGCAGACAGGGTGAGAGACAGTCAGAAGTGCACAACACTTGACATGAATTCCAAGCTGGAGGACTGGGCACAGCCACAGGGACTGATTTCTTTATCTTTGCTACCCCGCCTCCCCTGACTTTGAGAAATGAGCTTCTGTGAAAACGGATACCCTCAGTAAGGCAGCTTTTGTTTCTGGGAAGCAATCTCTTCTCCCAGGTAATTTCCTGGGAGACTCGAAGATTCTTGTTATTTTTATTTAGACTAATGAGACTGCATGCTGGTAGGTAAAGGGGCAAATTTTCTCTGTGTCTTAATAAAGGACCAAGACAAGAATGGAGACATTTAAAATTCAGAAGGAAAGGATTTAAGATGAAAGCTACCCCTTTTACTCCCCCACCCGCCATGCTGGCCCCCTCTGTACACACTGTCCCTCCCTGCCCACAATCCTCACTCCCATGCAGCCCTTCCCTGCTGATGAAATTAAGAGGCAATCAGGATATAATCAAAAGTGGCTCCAACTTTGGGCAATAAATAGCTCCCATATGCTCAATAAACCCCCGACCGCAGGCAAGTGAGTGCTCAGCAGCGTCGGGGAGACATCCATTCTTTGTTGAGACAGAAGCAAAGTCAATTACTGCAATTAAACTCTACAGAAATGCCTTGAATTTAATCAAAAGAGAAGTTTCAACTTGAGGAGTTGGAAGAAAGGGTAGAGAGTAGGGGCGGCAGGAATGGGAAGCGGGAAGAGTGTGTCACTGCAGCCTGGCGTGGACACTTTTGACACTAAGCAGAGAGGTAAAGCACACGTGCATGCGTTTGTGTCTGAGCTGTCTGCCTGCTGTGCCGTCACCATCTAGAGGCACATACATTCTAAGCCACACACACTTGGCCTGTTTGGCATGACTGCCTCTGCTGGCCTGTGGCCCCACCTAGCCCCCACAACAAAGTTCCTTCACCCGAAAATCAGCTCCAAGTTTTGTTTTCTTATGTGAAAGGTTTGGTGGAGACTGATGAAATGACACAGAGCCAACAAAGGGAGCTGTAGCTTAGGGCTAAGAGACAGCGCAGAGTAGCTGTGAGGGGATACAGGGAAGAAAAGGCCGGTCTGAGAGAACAGAGAGAAGGAAGCCGATTGGGAACACCCAACGCCACGGGTAGACGAGTGGTTCCTGGAACTGAGGCGCCTCAGTCCTGTGTCAGCTCCCTGGGCTGAGATGGAACGGAGAGAATCACTTCCTCAAGTACAGAGAGCATGCTGCCTGACCTGGGCACCCGATCTGATTTCCCATCAAAGTGTAGAACCCGAGACCAATGTCACCCTTGTTGAACACAAATACCAGCTGAGGGGACTGGCTCCATTTTCTCAGCTGACACTCAGCCAAACGTGCGTGCAGTCTTAATTTGGGATTCTCAGCTACGGACAAGTGGAAAAGCCGTTGATGACACCCTGTGACAACAGCTGTGGTGCTGCACACTGGTTCTCCACGTTTCACTGGGGCACACCAGCTCCCTGTGCATCACCAGGGACGAGGAGCAGAGGCTGGGAAGGGTAGGAGGTGTCCCACAGGGAGGCTCTGTAATCTCTGAAGGGGAGGGCAGAACTGAGGTAATTTGGAGCAGACTAGAGGGGTACTAGGATTGGGCCCAACGGATGCAAATTGGGCTCCCTCCCTACGAAGGAGTGGGGAACTTTCTAAGCTGCTGGTTGAGTCACAGCCAGGAAGAGCCTGGGTTTTCAGGAAACCGGGCTAGGATGGCAAGCGCCCAGGCGGTGGGCTGGAGGAGAGCCTCCGAGCCAGTGTGGGCTCCATCTGCACTGATCAATCAGCAGAAAGCACAGGTTATTACCACAGAGAAACGCAAGGTTCCAGGACCCCTGAAATTGAGAGTGAAGGAGAACGACTCCCTGATGGCTTTGCATCAAAAATTAAACAGGAAACGGGCTCTGAGTATTTCATCATCTGCTCCCCCGCCTGAAGCAGAGCGTAAATGTACATTACTTATGCTTTAACCCCAGTTTTTGTTAGGCTTTGTTCCCTTTCCCCTCACTAGAAACACAGCCTCTCCATCACCACTCAAGGATATAATAACCAGATTTTAAATTATTTATTCCAAAGGCTCTTTCCTGCCTACCTTTCCTGTGAGTTCCCTGGGGATATGTGTGCCACCATCTATTTATGAGGGAACACATGCCCTGAGTACTGTGGGAAGAGTTTCATCACCGGGGGTGGCAATGGCAGGGCCAGGAGCCCACCAGTCATCCTTCAGTGCGAGGCCTAGAAAAGCTCAGCTGAGGGGGCTTGGCCCTCTGGTGCAGCTACAGAGTGCCAGAGGTGGGCGCGGCTCTCCACCTCTTCTCCTCACCCTCCTTCAAGGGGCAGGGTTTGGGTTAGGACAGGTCTACTTGCCCAGCCTCAAGGAGGCCAGATGTCACAAAGGGGCAGAGATGGGACTGAGCCTGTCCCACATGGTCTTCCTGTGCCCTGGGATGTGTGTGACCCTGGCGCTGGGGAGAGACATGGAAAGGATGTGTCCACAGGAGGGGGAGGCTCGGAAACCATTCAGCCTGGGCTTTGTCAAGAAACTACACAGACAGAGCATTTTCACTGACCAAGAAAGCCTCTCCAAGGTGGCTCTGCTGCCGTACATTCTACATCTGCAGGGTATGGGTGCTCATGCCAGGGACCACAGTCTTTCTCTTCTCTAGGCATAAACATGCTGAAAATGACTCATGGAAACAAAGGTCACTGATGGGATGGGCCCCCTTCTTCCTCATCTCTCTGGGGCTGTGGCTGTCTGGCCCTGGCTTCTCATTCAGTTTACTCCAAACAAAGCTGAGCACAGAGAGAGCCTGTCCTTTGGGAAGGGTGATTGTGCCTCAAGACCTCACAAGTCACTCTACAGACGGGGGGTGGGATGACCTCTCATACACCTCCCAGCCCAACTGTGTCATGCTATTCTAGGTGTTTCTAGTCTTCCAGGAAGCTCTCTTATTCTCAGACCACTAGACACATTCACAGTTCGGACTCCAGGGAGATTACTTGGTGAGGACATTCCAGCTTAGTATACAATAGACCCACCGGCAGATGCCTCGCATGTAGCAGTGTTTCTTAGTGACAAAGACTGAGACAGCATCCCAGCACACATGGGCTGTGGTGAAGCAGTGCAGTGGCTAGTCTCTGGGAAATAAAATAGGACACCTAAGGCCCAGTAAGGAGGTAACAGTCACCCCCCTATCCCCTCACACCACCCCAGGACAAAGATACACGAGGTAGGTCAGCAATGCCCCTGACACCCAGGGAGGTGGAGAGCCTTTCTGAAATGGGTTTGTTGTACATGGAGCCTCTGATGTCCAGGAACAGTTTCATCAAGTAACATGTGAAACTGAAGAACCATCTAAGACGGCCTGGCCAGCAAGCCACACTAGGCCCAGGAGGCAGCAGACAACAGGACTAAATTTCACTGTCAGAACAGCACTTAGGGGGCTGGAGAGATGGCTTGGTGGTTAAGAGCACTGACAGCTCTTCCAGAGGTCCCGTGTTCAATAATAATGATAATAAAAAACAGAACTTACAGGATGCCTAACCACTCAACTAGTCTCTCTGAGTTGGGTTTCCCAGAGGCTGCTAAACCCCACCCCAATGCACCTTTGCTGGCTGGCACTGTCAGTTAAAGACACAAACCTGTCCCCAGCCCCATGCAGTCCCTCCCAGAGTCTTCTGGTCAAAGTGGCTTCAGGATGTAATTTCCAGCACAGAATGGGATTATTGAATAGTGCTTACTTTCCAACTCTACTCACACTAGCACATCATTACTAAAAGCCCTCCCCAGAGAACATGTGTCAGGCATGTCCTCCCTGAGATCACTGGCTTCTACAACAAGAACCCTTCAAATGCACTTGTTTGGTACTTCTCAGCCAAGAGACAGGAGTCCTGATGTCAGGCAAATGATTTCCAACTGGACAGGCTGGGCTCAGGAGGAAGGGAACCGGTCAGAGCCACTGGGGAGACGGTCTCCTCACTGCACACAGTGATGGCTGCTGTGCTGAGGTCAGGGGCACCTTAAGCATGGGCCTGGCATTTCAGCCTGGCTCTTGACAGGCAGACTGTGAGCTAGATGTAGTCTAGATGTGGTTAGCTTGAATCTCAAAATGTTTTTACGAATAATGCATTAGATCTCAACATAAAAAAAAAAAAACAAAAAACAGGTAAGGATATGTGAAAACACTGATTTTTGGATACTTAACCAAAATTCGGATGGTCTGAATGGTTTCTGTGGTGGGGTTAATTTACACTGGGCGCTGCTGGCTGGGATGTAGTCATGGGACCTGCTGTTGCCACATCTCCGCCTACAGCCCACAGCCCTCTTGACCCTGGCTGTGTACTGTCAGAAAGTTGTATTACACCTATGCTCCACACACTGCTGGGCCCCCCAGACTGGCCAGCCACCCTCTTCCTCTCTTCCAAGTTCCATGGCAGATTTACTGCCATGGGGTCCCACCTCACACTTGGGTCAGCCAAATGGCATTTGTACCTACCCACGAGTAGGACACACAGGCACTAGAGAAATAATGGGGTGCTGAGACACTTAATGCTGCTCTGATGAGTTTTTTAGGTGCTCTGGGCATCAGTGTTCTTCACCACTGCATGTACTTTCTTCCCTGACTCCAAACAAAGAGCTGAAACATGATGGAAAGAAGCCAGAGTCTGCATCCACTGGTGCTATGTAGCCCTTTCTGCGTCAGGTACCATAATAACCCACCCCAGATCACTTCTCCATGAAGCTGCTGTCTACTTTCTGAGGTCCTCTTCTCTGGCAGCAATCCCACCTCCAAGCAGGACTGAGCAATACAGGCCCCGGGGGAGGCTGAGGCCTGGTTAGAATCACCTTGTCGCTCAGCCAACAGTACTGTGTGTCTTTGGACAAGTCACACACTTTTGGATCCTCAGCTTCTTAGATGCAAAGTTAAGAAAACAATGTGCACATAAGAAGTGAGACCATGTCTGCTAGACTTCAGGGGGAAGATGAACGGGTGCTGAATAAGTACCTTAGAGTCCACACCCAGCTGTTTCCTGGTGCAGGCAGCTACAATACTCAGTCACCAAGTCCCGTCAGCGCTCTGGGCCCAGCACACCTCTGAGTTCCCAATAGTTCCTGCCCTGGCTCCTTGCCAACCCGCAGACTCCAAGTGGGGCACTGCCTCCTGACTCCCCATGCCCTCTGATCCAGCCACTTCCTCTGGGCCCAGAAGCTTAGCTGATTCTCCTTACTTCATCTTCTGGGGAGCTAATGGAACATCCTGGATACTGCTTAACAAGTGCAAGACCCTGGGTTTGATCCCTACAAACTCAAAAGGCAACAACAGGCAAAAAACTGCTGCTGGGTCTCCTGAGCTAGACTGGCCCTAATTGATCAGATACTGACTAGTGACCTCTGAAGCAGGCTCCGGCCTCCCAGTTTTGACCACTGTGTTTCCTGCTTTAAGCAGCAGACAATAGAAACTTAGCATGTTCAACAGAAGAGTGGGAGCAGAAGGGAAGGGGAAGCAGAGCCACTGGCCTGACCACCTTAGCCTGGAGTCTAGAAACATCCACAGGACAGGAAATGGAGGCCCAAGGGATCTGAAGACTGCCATACACGGGCTGAGGAAGAACGAGAAGGGAGCACCTTAGTCTACATCCTATACTGGAAGCCCAGCCTGGAGCAGCTCATGAAGCCAACAGACCTTGTCCCACAACGTTTTCCTGGATAGGACTCCCTGTTGGGTGGAGAGTTAGGCTTTGTTTTTTCTTCTTGTAGAGGTCAAGTGCCATGAAGACAGGAAGCACCACAGTCCCCGATCCTTATTGTTTCAGCATTCCCTTACCCTGAAGGCCTTACACTCCTACACGGCACACCTAGCCCACCACATGGAGTTCTGTGGATGCGGAACTACTCCCAGTGAGATCCCCTCCATGGCTGGTGTTTCACTGGCTGTGCAGTGCCACGTACAGAACTGTGTCTAATGGGCACGAATTAACAGCCAGCTTGGGATTTTAGTGAGTTCCTTTCCACATCATTTGAAAAATATCACATGAGATCAGGTCCAAGAACTAAACTTTAGGGAATTTGCTAGTTATGCTTTTATCATGCAAAGAAATGCCCAATTAATTCTTTGGGGGGTGGGGGTTGAGACAGGGCTTCTCTGTGTAGCTCTGGCTATCCTGGAACTTGTTCTGTAGACCAGGCTGGCATTGAATTCAGAGAGATGGGATTAAAGGCGTGTGATACTACTGCCTGGCTCCAATTATTTCTTTTATTTGTAAATTGTATTTTATGGCAAATAATGCCTTAACTATAATGATTCAATTAAAAAAACGGCACTTGACTGTTTCAAAGGAATAGGAAATCTCCAAAGAGGCCTTTAATTTCAAAGGGATCTCTAGCAGATTTTAAGAGGTGGGTGTCACTGCTGCCCTGTCTGAAGCCTGCTGTGACTCTCTTTAGCCCTTTTCTGTGTGTGACAAAGACTGTGGCATGGAGAGCAGTTGTACTGTGGACACATGCAGTGTCATTTAATGTGTTATTCAACACGCATTTTATATAGCGAGGACAGAGACAGGGCCTCCCTTCGCCCCACTGAACTGAGGTGGGGCTATCCTCCACTTGCAGTTTTGTGAGGAATGCTTTGACAGAGACACCGCCAGCCTCCCAGCGTCAGTCACAGCCCATGTCTTCTTAGACATGCGCAACTAGGCTCTGTGGGTGGACCACAGCTGTAGGGCAAAGTGGACTGGGCAGAGAAGGTATAGGAGGGGCAGACAGGGAGCAGTGAGAGCAGGCACAGGAGCTGCAACTGTCTCAAGGGGAAGGGGAAGAGGCAGTGGGGTAGGGGTCACAGTCAGGGACTGTACCCATAATGCTACAGTCATGGGTGAGGCCCCAGTCAGAGGCTCTGGTGCTGGGCATTAAGGGAGAAAGCACCATTTTCCAGAACAGGCATTGTCAACTCCTGGTTACCTCCATCATCCAGACGGAAGGAAGAATGTTGGGCCCTTATCTATTGAGAGCTTGGAACTGTAGCCCTGTGGGATCTGGTGCCCTCTTCTGGTGAGCAGACACATAGACAAAACACCCATATATACATAAAATACATAAATACATCTTTTTAAAAAGTAATGGAAAGTTGATAATACATCAAATGTCTTCAGATATTTTCAGATTCAGAGTAAATTATTATTTTAAATTTTAACTTTACATGTATGAGTGTTTTGTCTGCATGTATGTATGCCTACCATGTGTGTGCAGTACCAGAAGAGGCCAGAGAAGGGTGTTGGGTCCCTTGGTACTGGAGTTGTTGGACGGACACACTTACCACATGGCATGCATGTATGTCGGTGGGAGTCGTGGGCTGCTAACTGGAGTGCAGTTGTACGATCTCATGATTCTTTCTGCCAACAAAAAATTTCTAAACAAACTTGCCACCAGCAGGTCCTGTCTGAAGAGCTTTTGGAAGAGATCTGAAGACAGATAAAAAATAACAAGAAATCTTCAGTGATTTGTGCCCAGCACTGGAAGCCAAACACACAAGCTTTCTTTCATCAAAAATTATTACAGACAAGTTGAGACTCACACACACACACACACACACCAGTCTATATACGAACAAATACACAGATGCCAACCAAACTACAAAGCACACACATGTTTTATAGCAGGAATTCTATAGGACAGTGCCATCATGTATTGAGGAAGCTGAGCCCTGGGCCTTCTGGCAAAGCAGGGCTGACACAGAGCTCGCTATCTGCCATGGATCTAAGCACTTGGACTCCTGGTCCCTGCACCGACACCACAACACCCAACCCCGATTAGGCCCTTTGCTCTCCTGTCTGTTTTCAGTCCCTGTGTGTGAGCTTCTTCACTGGAGGGAACCAGTGGTCCTGTGTGATGGTGGTGTCTCTCACCCCGAGGGAGCACATTCCAGGCAATGGTGTCTGTGATGGCTGTGAAGATCCAGTTCAGCTCGCCCAGAGGGGTTCTCCGGTCGTTCAGCCGTCCAGGGATCCTAGATAAGATGGTGTTTGCATTAGTGCTGCCACGTCTACTGAAACAGGCAAGGGAGTCAGATGTGGGAACAGATCTTAACGAGATGAAAAGAGAGGCTGGGCTTTCTTACAGTTCCTGATATCTCCTTCAAGGAGACAAGACACTATATAGGCTTACCCTTAGTAGCTCCTACTCTCTACCCTACAGGAAGACACACATCTCGAGCTGTCAAGGGATCCACCCATTCCACGGCCCTGTCTGGATTCCACTGCTGCAGAAGAGCTGAGGAACAAGTCCTACCCTGCACAGCCCACTTACCCTGTAGTCACTCAGTAGGTCCTGAAGACCAGATGGGGCCCTGCACAGGCATTAGCAATTCACAAAGGCCCCAGTGGGAAGGACACACGGGAGCAAAGAAGAAGAGCGTGCATGGAGAGCCAGGCAGTGTGAACGCTGCAGACACTCATGAAGGGCGGAGAAGGAGAGCTGGGCGTGGTGCTGGCCCACCAGCAGCGGTCTGCATCCTCTCAGGACAAGAGTGTGTCCACTGGAGACCACAGCAGTTCTGAGCCCTAAGGGGTGGGCATGCCCTGGATCTTTCTGCTCTGCTGCAAGGTTAACTTTACCCACTAGGTAGCAAGTTTAATTATATCTGACTAGAAACTCGTTCTTCCTCCCAGAAGGAAAATGTTCACAGTGATTTGGTTTAGAGACTAGAGTGTGATTTGCTATTTATAAGGTGGAACAGATTAATAATTCCTATTATAGTCACCCATTTGATAGCACTGTCAGTAAGAACAAATCAGAGACTCAGGGAGAGGGGAGCAGGGCCCAGGCTAGCTACATAACACAACCAGGCCGGGTGAGCTCTTTTCTGCCACTCATACCATTCAGTTTAGAAACAAAAATACTTTTTGTCTTCAAGGAGGCTTAGTGATAGGGCAGAAAAGAGCCAGGGAAAAAGCAAAACAAACACCGGTGTAATCTATTACAGCAGCAAAGCTCACGGAGTCACCGAGCTGTCGCGGAGCCCAGTGCTGGCCATGTGTGGGGTGGGTACCACAAAGTGCCCTACTACTGAAGAGAAACCAAGGGTCAGAGGTGAACGCAGCACAGGGACTCTCTTTACCTGCTCTCTTGCCATGGAGAGCACCACACAGAGGTGTGTGTAGGAGAACTGGACCCATGGCCATCAGCCAAGTGTGGGGTACACCACTCAAAGAGAAACAAGCCAGCACAGCCCTTGACCCCAGCTCTCACCGCTGCTCACAGAAATCACTACCATCTGCAGTGTCCCTGCTGCCCGCTACTGATGCCAAGTCCAAAGGTGAGGCTCCCCAAGAATTTTTCAATAGCTCACTAAGACCCATTGGAAGCTGTCTCCTCTAGGAGACCATTACTACAGAGAGGCTACCTCAGCCAAAGCGAACCCACAGGACAGTGTCCTCTCCCCCATTTGACAACACAGAACACTGCAGACCAAGACAGTCACCCGAGCCTAGGGACAGAGGCTTTACTAGAGTTCCAGTAGAGAAATGGCTGGGTTCTGAATGCAACCTCCAGTCTGACTGACACCATGGATCTTACAAACGTACCCCCACCCCTTACCTCAGGCTGCTCTTCCTGGTATGGTGAGCCCTGCCCTAGCACTGCCAGTGTGGTTAGCCACTGAACTCAAAAAGCAGAGTACACACAAGCAGGCAGGGCCAGGAAGCCTCCAGAACAAATACCAGATATGTGACCACTGAGCAGCCACATTGTGCGTCCAACAAGAGTCTGCTGTGCCTCCACTGCTCTGCTTCAAGCAACACGCACACATTTAAAGAAAGGGAAGGTTCAGAGAAAGGGAACACACAGCATTCACACTGGGAACACACACATTCTTGTCTTCTACCTCAGCGTGTAGTTTCCAGCCAGCAGTCAATTCTTATCCCCCACCCCCAGACACGATCTGACTATGTAGCTCTGGCTGTCCTGGAACTCATTCTGTGGACCACGCTAGCCTCAAACTCACAGAGACCTACCTGCCTCTGCGTCCCGAATGCTGGGGTTAAAGGTGTGCGCCACTATGCTTGGCCCATCAGCCAATTCTAATCCATAAACTTATTAAGGAGACACAGGAAATACTAAGGCAGAGTGTGGTTACATTAAAACTGTGACAAGTTAGAAATGCACTATGTGATCAAAACAAGAGAAGCGACTGAGTAAAATATACAATAGCCACAGAGAGATGGCTGCTAGACACTTGATGTTTATTTTTTGGACATCTCAATAGGGCAATGTGTGCTTTATGATAATGAACCAAGTCAGACATGGCCCGGCCAAGATCATAGAAAACACAGGCAAGGGGAGCAGCAGGGGTGGGGTGGGCGGGCTGCTCTTCCTATCATCTACAAGGAAAAGGTGAGAATCCACCCCACTTGAACAACAGGGAACATCTGAGACTCCATTTCCTTGCTGGCTTGTCCTCAGCCTTGAGTGCACTAGGAGGTGAGCTCTCAGGAGACGGCCCCTGCCACTGAATAACCACTGAGGAACAGAGCCCATGCTTTGTCTGGGTTACTTGCTGCATAAAACAAAAGGAAAACACAAAGCAACTCTCATGTGTGGCAATCGGCACCCAAATCCCACAGCATCCTGGAAACCCCCATCTTCCCTGAGACATCATGAAGATACAGACAAGGCATCTGCCCAATGCTGCAGATGGATCTGAAAGTCCACTCACATCGACTGACTGACCGGCTGTGCATAAGCAGGCACCGACGCGGCTCTGGCTCATTTGCGGACCGACAGGTCCTTTCTGGGATGACAAAGGTGGAGTAAGCCTACACATCCCTTCTTGTCCTGAGTCTGGGCTCTGTGCCTGACAGGGAAGCTGGGAAGACATCTGGGTCGTCGCAGGCTGCAGCAGGACCCAGAGGGAACCAAGTAGCTGTAACATCCAGCCTGAGACCCCACCCCACTTGGGAAGCTTCTCTAAGCCCTAGACAATCTATTAACAAGCACAAGGGCTCTTTTAAAATTTAACTCCTGGTGCCAACCAAGGACAAACTTTATGTGGAAAGTGATTACAGGATTGAAAGATGAGAAGCCAAACCCTGGTCCCAGCTGTGCTGTGGCTGGGCAACTTCTGCATCCTGTGTCTCGGCTCTGAGTCACGAAAACTAACCTTATGTGCGACACGGGACTAAAATAAAACGGGTCACACTTGCACAGCAGACACAGTGGCAGCCAGATACCTCCTTGGCAGGGGCATGCCGCCCCCTCAGCTCTCCCTCCCGCTGTTGCTGTGAGCACAAGGTTTATTCCCATCCCATTCCTGTCTTCCTGCAGACACTGCACTCCCCTGCAGCTCTGTTTCCAGCCAGGACTCATCTTCTTTGACTTCAATACCCGGCGATCACTGCTATCACTCCTTTTGAGTATCTCCACTGCTGTGTATGTGATGACCTCAGAGTGGACTGTTCTGGAATGATCTGACACTTTCCCCCTTGGGCTGCTCTCTCCTCACCCCCACACCCCTGATGGTCCTTATCGCCCCTTCTGCAGTCACTTGTCAAACAATTCTATTCACCCTTCTATTCCCAAGCTACCCTTCTCCACCTAGTTGCAGGCAGACCCTGTTACATCACTGGTTATCCAAACCTTAGTGAGGAGACATTTCTAAGGATGTCTTAATGTTCAGACCATTCCCACCTCCTTTGGGCTCATTCCTATGAGTACCTGCCAACCTGTGTCTCACTGGCATCTGACTTTCCCACCTATTTCTGAGCCGGTACTGTGGGAGGAGCACACTCCCAGATAGGGCCTCGGTCATGACATGTCTTTACAAATCAATGAGGAACTGTGAGGAATATGCAGAGTGAACAGCCAGCTTGAACTCTGGTGTCAGACAGACACGAGTTTGACTCTGTCCAATAGCTGCCCTGTGACCTTGGGCCAGCAGTCTGAGCTCACTGAGGTCTGGTTATTTCAATCACAGCTAGCTAGACCCAACCACTGACTGCAGACTACTGCCACGTGAGCCACTGTGCGTGGGCCACATCCCAGGATGGTGTTTTCACTCTCACTTGCAAAATGGGGCTGGAGGCCATCATGAGGGTACGCTGGCCTTGGGGAAAAGTGGTAACAACTGACCATAGCCTGGCCCACCATCTGCCCCACAAGGTCCTAAGGACCAAGCACAAGTGGGCCTGGGCTGTAGGAGGTGGGACTCATACCTCATGACCCTAGAGCTCCCTTTGTGCTGCCACAGGGCCCCTCTTCCTTCAGATCTGGAAAAACCACAGGGTGGCCAACAGCAAAGCAAGTTCGCCTTGCTGCTCGTGACCCTGACTAACCCACTGATCCCTGACCATACATGGTCCCTCCAGTCTCTGGAAAGCCAGATCCCAACACCCTTTCCCGACCTGCTCTCTGGGGTGCTGACTGAGTTTGGGAATGCTGCCCTAACCTCACAAACCTCTGAGCACACTTGACATTCAGCCTGCTCAGAGTGACAGCGGCTCCAGTAACTGTCCTGCTCGTGCGCGGAGGGCTGTTGTTCACGCTTCCCTCATCTTTCCTCACAGCCTGAGCTCAGGGGGAGCTTGGCAACAGCACCGTCTATCCTTCTCTACAGCAAGGACCCTCTCTGTCCACGAGCCCCACTCATTCCCGTGCTCCCCAGACTTAGAACAAGTGCAGCCACAGCCCCCGTGAGAATCTGTTTCCGCCTGCTGGGAAGGCTGTCCCCAGACAAGCCCCTCTACTTCACATTACGCCTCTCAGGGCTCTTCCTGTGTCAGATGTGAAGGCTGCAAAGTCCTCCAAGTCTTTTCTGTAGGGGCTTTCAGTGCCTCTACTTAAAATCTAAAGGGACAGTGGGCACCTGTGGCTGGGCACCCTCCACAGGAACAGCCAGGCCTCTGAGGGGCAGACTCTGTCCGACACACTCAAACAGAAAATTCCCTCATGGCCTCACAGCTGTCAATAACTCATCAAGTCGATGGCTGACCTTGTAAAATCATGTCCCATGCT